TGTACTTTGAACAATTTTCAGCTTCCTGGGATGTCAAGAACTGAAATTTATAACTTCTAATTCCGTTTTCAGATAAGGAGAAGCTAGAAGTTGAGTGAAAAAATCAATCAACCTCCAATGGGTGGGGTGATTTTCTCTACTGTACAAAAACAAAAGTGATAGAGTAATTTAACAGTAATGCACAAGCCCTGTGTTTAGGAGTTACCTTGTGGACTGGGGATACTGAGACCCAGCAATGCGCTCCGTATTTTCACATTTAATTAAGTTAATTTGCGCGTTTCGGATTTGAGCTAAGTTAATTTGCGCGGTTCGACTAATAATTTGGCTGACTCGATGTTACGAGAACCACATTGAATTGGCTATGGTAGAGATGGTTAAAAGCACGTAAAACTCTGTTTAGATGCTAGCCAATCGTTTTAAGATCCAGCTTTACTGTCCGTCGTCCTAATATAAAGCTATATATAGAACCTGCCTTTTTTTGTCCGAAGTTTTGCGTTTACAGATTCTTTGTAACTCTTAACAGATTCGTTATTTTTCTAAAGTTTCATAGCGTTAATAAATTAATTATTAAAAAAAAAGATTTTTCGCGAACCAATTCAGTCTATTCAAAATTCTCAAAAATTTCACAGCTGCAATAAGAAAAACATGAACATATCGCAAACTGATTTGTTTTATGGAATAGTTTGAAGTTTTAATACTTAAAATTTCATAGGTTGAGTAGCTTGCTTAGAAGCACTTCAGTTTTTCGCGAACCGATTCGTTCTTTGAAATGTGGTCCTTTCCATTGTTGATAATTAACTATCTTGATGAATTTGTTCTTTGTTTTGTTTGTTGCAGTGGATGAGAAGACAAGTGGGATAGAGGAGGCGAGGAAGAGACACCAGCAGTTGAGGGCCAAACTGCTGCTGTGGAGGAAGGTGTACGTGGAGTTCCAGACCAACTGTCTCCACAGACACGCCCCCAAGGAACAGCCGCACAGACGTCACTCATGTGTCAGCAAGGTCAGTCAGTCCCCCCTGCCAAACCCCCCTGTTTTTTCTTATATATTCATAGATTTTCTGCGAGTATCGTCATTGATTTTGACCAATTTTTTTCAATTCAGAGAATACTAGATCAAAATTTTTGAGCTAACACAATCACAAGCTATGTAGTATAGAGAATTGCAAAAAGTTGGAGCTGACAAAATTATTTGAAAAGAGCAAAGGTCCTACTCTATAAAAATTTTGCATGCGAAGGCTAATTTTGCAGACAGAAAAGATGTCTCAAGGGTACCTAAGTTTTCGAATTCTAAACTTAATGAGAAAACTGAGTTCGAATTTCTAAATTTTGTTTGTTTAGTCCTGATAAGTTAAAATCATTAATTAATTACAATATAGTCAACAATATAGGCAAAAAGTTGGAACAGACATAAAACAGCTATCTACCATTTTTGAGCAATTTTTGCATGCAAAATCGAAAACTTAAGTGAACTTGAGACATTCTTTTTGTCTGCAAAATTAGCTTTCGTATGCAAAATTTTTACGGAGTAGGACTTTTGCTCTTTTCAACTAGTTTTGTCTGTTCAAATTTTTTGCAATTCTCTATACTAGTTAGCTTGTGATTGTCTTAGCTCAAAAATTTTAATCTTGATTCCCGGAATTGCCCAAAATCAATGACAATACTCGCAGAAAATCTATAAATTTCTAAGAAAAAAAAAACACTTGTATTTGGAATAAAAAAACCAAATGACCTATTTTCGTGGCTAAGTTTTGGTTCAGAATTTCTCGGGAAAAAACTGCACCATGTTAATTCTGGTGAACGCTAAGCAATTTTTGTTCGCTTCACTTTTTGTCTAATGTTAACTGAATTTGAGAAAAAAGCGTTTGAAATTTTCGTTATTGTTCGATGTGTCCGGTTAATTTATAGTTGATCCCAAATTGGTGGCAATATCCTTTTAGATCACGAATGTGAGCAATGTCAAATACCTAAAAAAAGCTCATTTTGACACCTGAACTTAATTTTCATTTCAGTTCAACAGTAAAACCATTTAAAGAAACACATTTAAAAAATCTAATTAACCTATAACAACTTTTTTTGACCGTTCAAGTTGCTCCAGGTAGCCAATATTGCCAACCGGGGGAAGATTTTCAAGAAGTTTGACAACCTTTTTTAAACCAAATTGATAACTGATTTTCCGAGCTCTCCCAAAGCATTAAAAAGACCGTTTCAGTCAAATTTTTGCGCCGCAGGCAAGATGTTTGAAAGATCAGGCCTAAAAAAAGCATTTTTAGGCACTTTTTGGAAAAATTTTTACCAAAAAATTGCAAGTTTTTGGCGCGCGCTCTCCCGTCAAAGTTAGTGGAAATTGTCGCCCAAGGCGCCTTAAAAAATGTTTAGAGCCCGGAACCAAGTATGGATATCCCGAAATAGTGCAAAGGGTCGGCAGGGGGTCGAATCACTGAGCAAGGGGAGAAGAGGGCGAGCTCTGACCCCACCTCCTAAATCCGCCCATGTTGCCAACAATTTGGCATTAACAAAAAGTATGCACTCATTTAAAATGTTGGTAACATCCTTTTCGGTCAAGGAATCTGAATGAAGTTGATCTTCTTCTGCTTATATATTAAAAAGTCGGAATGCGCTATTAACGCAATGTTTAACTGATAATAATGCTAATGAATTACTAGCGTGTAACGCACCTCCAGTGCTTCAATTTTTTTTATCGACAATTCATTTTAAAAAACGCATATATTTATCGGAAACAATATCTGCAATCTTTTAGTGCACTCTGACTGCTTCCAATTACAGGATTGGTAATTTCAAAGTTTATAAACTTTTCTTTAGTTCCAGTTTTGAAAAACTATAATTGAGTCATCTCGAAAACTTAATGGGCCTCTGGAGATTTTTGGAGGCCAGATTTGAAACTACTGAGAGTCCCTGAGAGCACCCTACCAGCTGGTTGGGTATTTCAAATCTAAGTTTCCCGAAAAAAAATTTAAAAAAATCATAAAAACCGTTTTATCTTGGAAACTAAGAGGATTTGAGCATTCATTTTAGAGACAAGATTCGCGACGCCTGGGTGTACGCTGACAATAAGGTTGTCTCTTCATCAAGTTAATAGTTTCAAATTTTGTGAATTTTTTTAGATAAGTTCATTAAATTTCGAAAAAATCAAATGTCACATCTCTGAAACTAGAAGCGCTTGAGCAGTCGTATTTGGCAAGATTTGCAACTCCCGAGAGTACCCTGACAGCACTCAGTTACAAAGTTAGGAATTTCAATTTTAAAAAGAAAAACAACTTCACTTTCTTACAGTTTTTGAAAAAATCACAAACGTCTATCTGCAAAACAACAATGATTTGAGCAGTCATATTTGGAGGCGAGGTTCGTAATCCTTGAAAGTACTCTGCCAGCACCCAACTACAGGGTTGGGAATTTCAAGTTTTGTAATTTTTTTTAATATGAGTTAAATGATTTTTTTGAAAAAATCACAAAAATCGTAGTATCTCGTTGACTAAAAAAATTTCGGCCTTCAAAGTGAATTGGAGGTCAAATTAACTGATTGGAAATCCAAAATGTTGGACTGCTCATTCTAAACTTGTTGAAATAATCACTGAAATCAAACTGGAAATACGAAAAACGTGAAAAAATTCTTTCGTTACACATGAAAAAAATTAAGTTGAAAAAACTTAAACGCGGTGAGATAATGAAGCCCGTATTTAAATGTATATGGATTAGGAGGCAATGTTTAGGAGGTTATCGACAGTAACTTTTAAAAAGCATTCAGAGTAACCAGCAGAGGAAGATGAACTCGATCCAACTTCAAGGTTATACAGTACCTGCCTCGTTTTTGTCCAAAAAAAAGTTTCATTTGATTTCTATCTGGAACACACACTGTTAAAAATTTAGTCTAGAACGAATCATTTGAAAACAGCAACGAATCATTAATGTTTAACTGAACATAATGCTTAAGAGTTTTTAGGAGACAATGTTTAAAAGGCTATCAAGCGTAACGTTTAAGAAGCATTCAGAGCAACCATCAGAGGAAGATGAACTCGATCCAATTTCAAAGCTGTACAATACCTGCCTAAATTTTGTCTGATTTTTTTTTCATTTCCGTCAGGAACTTGAACTGTCAAAAATTCAGTCTGGAACGAATCACTTGAAAACAGCAGCCTCCAGGCTAAGAAAAAAGTTTTTTGCAAACCGATTCAGCTTATGAAACAACTTGAAATGATTCAAAGTTTCGTAGCTTTAAAAATTTGCTTAGGAAAACTGAAACTTTTCGCGAACCAATTTTGTCCATGAAATAACTTGATATAACTCAAAAATTCATAGCTTCAAATGCTTGCTTAGAAAACTTAAACTTTTCGCGAACCGATTCAGATTATGAAAAAACTTGAAATATTTGAAAGTTTTTTTTAGCTTTAAAAGGTTGCTTAGAGAAACAAATTTTTCGCGAAGCGATTCGGTCTGCAAAAAAGTATAGAAAAGTTCACAAATTTTCATAGCTCTAACAGCTTGCTCAAAAAAATTCAATTTTCACACAAATTAATTCAGTTTATGAAATACTAGCCTCAAAAGCTTGCTTAGAAAAACTTCAATGTTTCGCGTGAGCTGATTCAATCTATAAATTAATTTGAAATAATTCAAAATTTCAGCTTTGAAAAGTTTCTTATGAAAAATTGAATTTTCTTGCAATCCGATTCGGTCCAAGAAATAACTTGAAATCTTCCAAATGTGTCATAGCTTGATTAGCTTACTTCAAAAAGTTTAAGGATTTTTGCGAACCGTTTCAGTCTTTGAAATAACTTGTAATAAATCAAAAGTTTATAGCTTTAAAAGCTTGCTAGGAAAACGGCCAACTTTTCATAAACCAATTCGGTCAACGAATTAAACTTTTTTCCATTTCAAATTGAAGTCGAATTGCGCTATGTACGCAAGGTTTAACTGAACATAATGCTTAGGAACTATTAGAAGACAATGTTTAAAAGGCTATCGATTGTAACGTTTAAGAAGCATTCAGGGCAACCATCAGAGGAAGATGAACCCGATCCAATTTCAAGGCTAAACAGTACCTGCCTCGTTTTTGTCCAAATTTTCATTTCATTTCATTTCATTTTTTTCTAGAACCGGGACTGTCAGTAATTCAGTCTAGAACGAATCACCTGAAAACAGCAACCTCAAAGCTAAGGAAAAAAATGTTGCAAACCGATTCAGTCTATGAAACAACTTGAAATATTCGAAAGTTTCATAGATTTAAAACTTGCTAAGAAAAACTGAAATTTCTTGCGAACCGATTTGGTCCAAGAAAAATTTTGAAATCTTCCAATGTTTCATAGCTTGATTAGCTTGCTTCAAAAAATTTAAAGAATTTGGCGAACCGCTTCAGTCTATGAAATAATTTGCAATTAAATCAAAAGTTCATAGCTTTAAAAGCTTGCTAGAATCACTTAAACTTTTCGCGAGCCTATTCAGTCTATGAAAAACTATGAACTATTTCAAAATTTCATAGCTTTAAAAGCGTGTTTAGAAAAACTTCGAAGTTTTTGCGAACCGATTCGGTCCAAGAAATAACTTGATATAAACTAAAATTTCATAGCTTTAAAAACTTGCTTAGGAAAACTGAAACTTTTCGCAAACCGATTTCGTCCAAGAAATCATTACTTGATATAATTCAAAAATTCATAGGTTTAGGCGCTTGCTTAGAAAAACCTAATTTTTTGGCATTCGATTCGGTCTATGAAATAATTGCAAATGTTTCAACGTTTCGTAGCTTGAAAAGCTTGCCTAAAAAACTTCAACTTTCACACAAACTGATCCAGTTTATGATATAACAAAGTTTCTAGTTTTAGAAGCTTGCTCGAAAAAACTTCGCGAACTGATTTAATTTTTCGTGAACTGATTCAATCTAGGAAAACAGAATTGTTTCAATGTTTCGTAGCTTTAAATCTTGCCTAGAAAATTTTAATTTGTTTGCCAACCAATTCGGTCTATGAAAAATTGCAAATGTTTCAACGTTTCGTAGCTTGAAAATACTTCAAAGTTTCTAGCTTTAGAAGCTTGCTCAAAAAAATTTCGCGAACTGATTCAATGTTTCGTGAACTGATTCAATCTAGGAAAACAGAATTGTTTCAATGTTTCGTAGCTTTAAATTTTGCCTAGAAAGTTTTGAACTGTTTGCCAACCAATTCGGTCTACGAAATAATTGCAAATATTTCAACGTTTCGTAGCTTGAAAAACTTGGTGGGAAAACTTAAACTCTCCGTGAACCGATTCAATCTTTAAATTAAATTGAAATAATTCAAAGTTTCATAGCTTAAAAGTGTGTAGAAAAACTGCCAAAATTTCGCAAATGGGTTCGGTCAACGAAATAACCTTAAAATTTTCATAATGAGTGAAAGTCGGAATGCGCTTTGGACGCAAGTTTTAACTGAACATTATGCTTAAGAATTATTAGAAGACATTGTTTAAAAGAATATCGAGAGTAACGTTTATGAAGCATTCAGGGCAACCATCAGAGGAAGATGAACTTCCAACTTCAAGGCTAAACAGTACCTGCCTCGTTTTTGTCCAAAGTTTCATTTCATTTCATTTCTGTCTGGAACCGCGACTGTCAGTAATTCAGTCTAGAACAAATCATTTGAAAACAGCAACCTCCATGCTAAGAAAAAAAATTTTGCAAACCGATTCAGTCTATGAAACAATTTGAAATATTCAAAGTTTCATAGATTTAAAACTTGCTAAGAAAAACTGAAATTTCTCGCGATTCGATTGGGGGCAAGAAATAATTTGAAATCTTCCAATGTTTCATAGCTTGATTAGCTTACTTAAAAAAACTGAAAGACTTTCGCGAACTACTTCAGCCTAAGAATTAACTTGTAATAAATCAAAATTTCATAGCGTTAACTGCGTGCTTATAAAAACTGCGAAGTTTTTGCGAACCGATTCGCTCCAAGAAAAAACTTGTTTTAAATCAAAGTTTCATAGCTTTAAAAACTTGCTTAGGAAAACTGAAACTTTTCCCGAACCGATTCCGTCCACAAAAAAAATTCAAAAACTCATAGCTTAAAACGCTTGCTTAGAAAACTTAAATTTTTCGCGAATCGATTCAGTCTATGAAATAACATCAAATAATTCAAAAGTTCATAGCTTTACAAACTTGCTTAGGAAAACTGAAACTTTTTGCGAACGGATTCGGTACAAGAAATAACTTGATATAAATCAAAAATTCATAGCCTTAAAAGCTTGCTTAGAAAACTTAAACTTTTCGCGAACCAAATCAGTCTAAAAAAACTTGTAATTTATCAAAATTTTTTAGCTTTTAAAATTTGCTTAGAAAAACAAACTTTTCGCGAAACAATTTGGTCTATAAAAGAATTTGAAAAAATTCAAAAAGTTTCAAAACTTGAACAGCTTGCTTGAAAAACATAGATCAAATTTATGATATAACTTGAAATAATTCAAATTTGCTAGCTTTAGAAGCTTGCTTTAAAAATTTCAATGTTTCGAGAAAGGATCCAATCTAGGAAGCATCTTGAATTGTTTCAATGTTTTGTAGCTTTAAATCTTGCTTAGAAAGTTTTAAGCTGTTTGCCAACCAATTCGGTCTATGAAATAATTGCAAATGTTTCAACGTTTTGTAGCTTGAAAAACGTGGTGGGAAAATTTAAACTTTTGGTGAACCAATTCAATCTATAAATTTGATGGAAATAATGCAAAATTTCATATCTTAAAACGTGCCTAGATAAACTGCTTCATTTTTGCAAACCGATTCGGTCAACGAAATAACCACAAAGTTTTCATAATAAATGAAAGTCGGAATGCGCTATGGACGCAAGGTTCAACTGAACATAATGCTTAATAATCATCAGAAGACAATGTGTAAAAGGCTATCGAGCGTAACGTTTAAGAAGCATTCAGAGCAACCATCAGAGGAAGATGAACTCGATCCAACTTCAAAGCTATACAATACCTGCCTAATTTTTGTCTAAATTTTCTTTTCATTTCTGTCAGGTTATTGAACTGTCAATAATTCAGCCTGGAATGAATCACTTGAAAACAGTTACCTCAATGCGTAAAAAAAAATGCAAACCGATTCGTTCTATGAAATAATTGGTAATAATTTCAACTTTTTGTAGCTTGAATAGCGTGCTTAAAAAATTTTCGCAAATTGATTCAGTCTATGATACAACTTGAAGTAATTCAAAAATTCATAGCCTTAAAAGCTTGCTTAGAAAAACTTAAATTTTTCGCGAACCAATTCAGTCTTAAAAAAACAAGTAATTTTTCAAAGTTTTATAGCTTTAAAAGTTTGCTAAGAGAAACGATTTTTTCGCGAACCGATTCGGTCTACAGAAAAATTTGAAAAATTTTGCAAATTGTCATAGCTTGAACAGCTTGCTTAAAAAACTTCAAATTTTACACAAAATGATTCAGTTTATGAAATAACTTGAAATTATTCGAAAGTTCTTCCCTTAGAAGCTTGCTTAGAAAAACTTCAAAGTTTCATAGCTTGAATTGCTGTCTTCGAAAAACTTGAAGCTTTTCGCGAACTGATTCAAACTATGAAATATTTTGAAATAATCCAATGTTTCATAGCTTCAAGCCTTGCTTGGAAAATTTTTTTGCTAGCTGTTTTGGTCTACGAAATAACTTGAAAGAGTTCAAACTTTCTTAGCTTAAATAGCTTGCTTAAAAACTTTTAAGCTTTTTGTGTATTGATGAAAGTTGGGATTTTCACGATTTTTGTCACCCACTTGCCTGCATCTGCGTTTGAACATTACGAGGCCAAACTGTGTATTTTGTGAACTGTAGGCGGATTCCGCAACAAGGACGCTCTCTTTTTTCTTACTTTGTTCTTTCATTTCTTTTGATTGTTCCGTCAAAATTTTAACATGTTTAAAGACTTTGTCTGAGGAGTCATAATCATTAACTTGAATTAATCAATTTTGCATCCGGCGTCATCTGAGCGAAAAGTTTTATTTTTAGATTGTTTATTCTTTGTTATATTTGTTACTTTGACTGTTAACAGATTGGTTATTAGATAAAAAGTCGGTTATTATCTTAACCGAAAATGCTTATCTTACAATTCCGTGCACCGGAAATGTTTATCATACACTTCCATACATCAAATGTATGGAAAAATGCCAGTCATACAATTTCGGGAAAAAAAACAATTATCATACGTTTTTTATAAATGAAAATTGTATGACTAGCATTTTTTGATGGCGACAACAAAAACTTTATTAACAACAAAAAAAAATTTTGAAATGGCTCCAAAAAGTTTTTTTTTCAACCCCAAAACTTCTACACAAACAAACATTTTCCAAAAAAAAAATTTGCATGCAAATCTTAATTTTTTGTCTGCATAACGTAGTCCTGGATACCCAAGAATTGGATTTTTTTTCAGTTTCTCTGGATAACTTTTTTCAAACAGGCTAAAAGCTCCTATTTTTTTTCTATGGCATGATTAGATATGCCCTAATCAGTGTCTAATAATTTGAAAATTCTAATTTTAACAATAATCAATTTGAAAGTTTAATGCTTTCAGTATATCATTTGTGAAAATAACTCTTACACAATTCAGGTCGCTCCCACTGAATTGTAAATGCCAGACGATTAACCGTTTGGTGACTCTAGTTTTGAGTAAACCATGGTTTTAATCACTTGTGTTAGGGCACGAACACATCCCAAAAATTTTGAGAAATAAAAATTAAAAAACAAAAAATTTCTGGTTAATTAAAAAATGCTTGTCCTACAATTTTCATGTATGAAAAAATGCTTACCTTAAAGTTTTCTTAAGATTTTCTGTATCTATGAATTTGTGCAAAATTGTATGATAAGCATTTTTTCATATATGAAAATTGTATGATAAGCGTTTTTGTCAACCCGGTGGATTTTTTTAAATTATATTTTCCAACTATTAGGGTCCAGTGATGTGTGAACTGGACGACATCTACCAGCCGGAAGTGTATGCACAGGAGAAGCTGAAGTTGCCGTCTCTGGAAGAGATTGCCAGACTGGCAGGCAGAAAGAACAGCCACGCCCACAAGAAGAGCAGTGTCAGCCCAGTAAAAGCCACTTTGGCTGCTTGACATTCAACAACTTGATTTAATCAGATTTAAGAAGATTATTGCAGTAAATTTGGGCTTGATTCGCCCACCCCTTTGTTTTCCAAACAGGCAAAAGAATCTGTAGCGTTCAAGGTTCAAAGTGGTTAAATTGTTGCAATTATGAGCAATTAACAAAGAAACTGTTGGTTGCTGGAGCGACAAATCAATGAAACAAGGATAATAATTGTAAATTTCAACATGAGTAACAGATATTATTACTGTGCCTCTAAGATACCAAAGAGAGACGAAACAAAGTTAAGTTAAGTCACTTACTCGCCCGTTCGTTCGCATTGTGTCTAGGAAATGTGGAATTTTTTTAAGTGTTACCGAGCTGAGAAGAGATGCTTGCCATACGTTTTCATACCATGAAAAAACGTTTATCAAACAATTTTATACAGTTTTGTAGAAAAACAGGGGTGTGTTATTAGCAAAATAAGCACTTTTCCGATACAATGAAAGTTGGCAATAAAAAATCACGAACTTATCTGCTTAATAATTGCATGATTGGTTTTTCTTAAGTTTCATTTTTTGGGAAAAATCATATTTTGTTATTCACACAAAATTTGTTGCTAAAGGCTTGAGCAAAGTTGAGGGAAAGGACTTTCACGAAACGATTTCGCCTGGAATTAAGATGTGGACCATAAGAAAAATTCTAAGCTTAGCTGTTCAAAATATGTGTGAGTTGAGACAGTTAGACATTGAAACTGCATACTTAAAAGCCAAACTAGATGATGTTTTTATGAAGCCACCTGAAGCTCTAAAAAGATATCTTGAGGGGTTAGGCTTTAAAATTCAGTTTTTGATGAGAGCTTGTTTGTTAGGAGGATAGAGGGAGAGAGAGAGAGGTTTAGTTTGCTTATGGGGCAATGATATAGTGGTTTGTTGAGCGGACAAAAAAATATCTCTGAAAAAAATAAGATAAGCAGATAAGTGATCTTAAATAGTTTTTAGGAATGAATATTTATAACACAGAAAACCCAGGTAGGATAAACCAGAAGAGATATCTTGAAAAGTAGTTATCAAGTTTTAAGATAACCGAAGCAAATCCGATAACAATCCCTCTTGGCAAAAAAAAGTTGACAAAAAAAGGTTGTCCTTTAGAACAAGAACAAGAAACAATATCAAAAAATGTGACTATCGAGAACTTTTTGGTTGTCTTAATTACTTAGCTTTATCAAGTAGACCCGACATTTTCTGTGCAGCAAACTTTTCTAAGTTCATTTGTGGGAAAACTCAGGTGAAAAGCATTGGAAAGCCGAGAAACATTGTCTCAAATATCTGCTAGGAACAACAAGTTTACCTTGAGTAGATAGAAGTGATAAAGCGTTGAGTCTTGTTGGCTATTGCGGACTGGGCTGGAAATATAATTGCTGAGATCGTTTTAAGGTGTTTCCATGGCTAAACTTTCTTTTGGTTGCGTAGATATTCAAATCAACCATGGGGGCCATACCGACTTATTTTTTTTCAAAACCAACGCGTCACACTGCGGAAGATCCTTATTGTTACTATTTGATGATTTGGTATTTCCGCAAAATATGTCTCAAACGTGTCGTTATGTTGATTTGAATCATCTCTGGGATGTTGAATATCTTCATGAACTGCAAGGAAGTTTGTTCGACATGCATATTGAGGGGTTTGTATTTTATTGAATCACCTCAAAATCAAACTGAACTCTGCACAAGATTTTGTGTTTCCAAGAAAAGCAATCCACTTGATATCATTTGTCTTGTTTCTCATGTAATTTATAGTTTAATTTTTCATGTCTGCTCAGGCATGACCAGACTCGTGAAAAATATTCATGAGTTTCATTTAGGATAGTTAAATCCGGTTCAGCTCGCTCTGTGTAAATTTTATCGCCAGAACCTTGATTCAGCAGCTTTCTCCTAAATATATTTCGCTGTGATTAATTCCACTTGGTAATTGGAGATATTTCACTGCAGATAGATCATTACAAACAAATGATATGTGATTTTGAGCCATGACAAATTTGGGTAGATATTATTCGGTCTTTTTGTTGAGAACCCCATTAGGAGTACAGCGGGGCCCAACAGTAGCAGTCTATGAGTAGTTGTGCTTGAAATAAACTGTTCTGATTCTTGAGGAGCGACATCCGTCAAACTTTCTTTTTGTGTTTGTTGGTTGTAGACGTTTTGGAAAATGTGATTTTTACTCTCAAATTAATTAAGAATTGTAGTATTTCAGAAACGCAATTTCTCTAGGTTTTTTCCAATTGCTCACTAAGTACCCAAATCTTCTTTTTTGGATGGCTGAACTAGTTTAATTACCTGGAATCATATTTTTGGTTAGCTTTTGCATTTTAGTTAATCAGAGCTCTGTGTTGTATTGGGATGTGTGAGTCTCGAAACTGTTTATCTGACACTCAATAATTTGAACGCACTAAGCCCAAATCGTTAAGTTTCATCCTTTTCATTATTACGTCAGTTAAATATAGCTTTGTTCTTGTTTGATTTTTTTTGTTTCAAATTGATATCGTGATTTTTGTACAATTTTTCCCGTCAAAAGTAAAACAGCAGAAATTACTTTTTTCACATTACTTTCCTATGAATTTTAAATAAAGATTTCTTAGCAAAGAATATCATGAAAAACATGTATATCAAACACATCTTATTTATCGAAAACAACTCATCGAGTTAGTATTCTAAATGTTGAACAAGAAACTGGTTGTAAAATGTTGAGATCTTGTCTAGATAAATTCTGAACTGTTCCTGTTAGTTTTTCGTTCGACCGAATACTGAGTATCCTGGTCGAAAAACTGTTTTTTGTCCTGTCTTTGACTTGTGCTTTAAATAAGTTTTTAGGACTGGATACAGAGTATCGTGGTACACAATAAAATTCTACTTTGTATATTTTAGCAGTTTTTGTTCAATAAACATTACTTTTACCGGATACTTGGTATCCTGGTTCTTGCTGAAATTAAACATACCCGGATTAGTTTGTATCAGAAGGAGCAATTTGTATTTCGTATATTCCATTCTTTTCATGACACAAAAAATTGAAAATGGATTTTCCATGACGTCGATGATTTTGCGTATGCGCGACGAATAACCGCAACAACAAGTTTTAAATTTTACAATGTTTGTTGATAAAAAATTGACACGCCAATTGTCAATCTGTAATATGTTTTTTAAAGATTGAAGAGAGGGACAACTGAAAATTGGCTGTTTGATTGTTTCGCATTCTAAAATACAAAAGAAACATTAGGGCGCATTCTCAAAAAAACACCGCTTTTCGCGATCTTTAAAACCAGCGTACGCAAATTTATTCAAAAAATTTTTCCCACACATCAAGCATTGAATTTTTAGAAATTTCGCCTATTGAAATAATTAATTCTTTTGAACAGCGATAACGGCTTACAGTAAAAAGCAAGCGGGAAACTTGAAATTGATGAAAACTACAGTTTGGTAAGCAGAATTAATAAACATCGCGCATTTTTGTCTGCTGTGTTACAATTGAACGGCTGTTTGTAACATTTGAAAAAATGCAATATCAGTATAAATTTTTTCGAGATATTCGTTTTTCTCATTATGTTTTCGACTTCTTTTGGGAAACTAAAGTCTGTTGGTAACAAACTGTTTCGATTTGACATATCGGAAGCAATAAACAGACAATTTTAGAAATGTAAAGATTTAGTTGTAGGCGTGGCAAGCCTACACCAGCATCTAAATTAGGGTGAAATAATACTTTTTTCCTTTTATCGAGTCTGCTTGATTTTTTTAATTTTGCATTTAGTAAATCATCCCAGTTACTAAAAGTTTCCAAATTAAACTTTAGTATGACAAGCCATATGAAAAAATGTAGGGATAACAAAGACTGACATTGTTAACCACTTGGTCCTCAAAATTTTACTAAGTAAAATTAAATTCCTACGTTTTTAAATTTGAGAACTCAATGTTATTTCAATATTTTTGACATTTTAGAAAGTTTAAAACAAGACATCAAGTATTTTTGTTTCCTTGACTGTTTTAAAGGGTGATAAACCAGATTTAGAAAGCACTTCAGTTTAAATTATGTTAATAATCATTCGAGTTTGTTTCCAAAAGTTTTCGATTAAGTGCAGTAATCTGCAAAAGTTTTCACCACATCAGATATTGATTAGGCAGGTAATGTCGTCGGCATATAAAAACAACTGTTTTTGGTTCTGTCTTTGACCTGTGCTTAAAATGAATTTTTTGATACCGGATACAGAGTATCCTGGTAAACAAGAAAAATATACTTTGTACTTTTTAGCAGTTTTTGTTCAAAACTCATTACTTTTACCAGATACTTGGTATCCTGGTTTCTTGCTGAAATTTAACATGTCCCGGGTAATTTTTATCAGAAAGAGCAATTTGTATTTCGTATCTTCCATTCTTACAATGACACAAAATCTTGCAAATGGATTTTCCATGACGTCGATGATTTTGCGTATGCGCGACGAATAACTGCAACAACATACTTAAGATTTACAATGTTTGTTGATAAAAAAATGACACGCCAATAATCAGTCTGTAATATGTTTTTTAAAGATTGAAGCGAGGGACAACTGAAAATTGGATGTTTGAATGTTTCGCATTCTAAAATACAAAAGAAACCTTCGGGCGCATTCTCAAGAAAAAAACACCGCTTTTCGCGATCTTTAAAATCAGCGTACGCAAATTTATTCAGAAAAAATATCCCACACAACAGGCATTGAATTTTTATAAACTTCGCCTATTAAATAATTAATTATTTTGAACAGCGATAACGGCTTACAGCAAAAAGCAAGCGGGAAATTTGAATTTGATGAAAATTAAAATTTGGTAAGCAGAATTAATAAACATCGCGCAGTTTTGTCTGCTGTGTTACAATTGAACGGCTGTTTGTAACATTTGAAAAATGCAAGATCAGGAGAAATTTTTTCGAGATGTTCGTTTTTCTCATTATGTTTTCGACTTCTTTTGGGAAACTATAGTTTGTTGGTAACAAACTGTTTCGATATGAAA